TTCCTGTAGTATTATAGTATTAAAATTAAATTTGAATATTTTAGATAAATATATAATTGAATATTTTTATAGTTTATTGCATTTCTGTAATTTGTAACAGGTTAGTTGATAACATGACATGCTATTTAGAATTGTTAGTCAATTGACTACCAAAATTTTTTTATTAAGTTTAAATAATATGAATATAAATAATTTTAATTTCAATATTACTATTACAATATAACTAATACTGTAATATTCAAATTTTTACTATAATATTGGATACTATATAATGTTTAAGCTTTTTTTACAAAGTCTTTTTATGCAAATTTAGCAAATTATTTGACCCAATTTTATTTTAGTCATTATATTTGTACTTAGTTTGACTAATTATTTAATATATTTACACTTAATTTATGAACTTTTTTATCCAACTTTTTTTTTTACAGACTGAAATAGTTTGAGGATCTGTATTTTCTTTTCCTTTGTTTGTAGAAGCAGAAAATCTTTGTTTTCTACTGCTGTTTTCCACTTTATGTCTTTTAACTGATTTTACCTGAATTCTAATTTGTGTACTACTTTTAACATAAGCTATCAGATCTATATTATAATTTAGATCATATAAATAGAAAGATAATTGAGGAATAGATTTTGATTTTGTAACATTATAACATTCTTTGAACTTATCTAATGTGATATGTAATTGTTCATCAGCATTTTGATAATCTAATTTAATCTCTTTTAAAAATACAACAAATGATAAAATATCAATATTATTATGTTTTTTGTTTGATTCTTTCCACTCAATATCTGAAATATTGCTTGTTTCATTATTAATATTTGAAGTATTGTTTAATAATTTCAGTTCACTAGTATGTAAATTTTCTTGTTGTAAAACTTGTTATATGTGAAGTGAAGCATAAAACAAATCATCATGGGCAACATAACCAAGTAAATGTAAGTATAAATTGCATGATCATTTGGTATTAATAATAAAATAAAATTAAATATTGAAAGAAAAATTTCATTAATACAGCTTCTTGATGCTTACATGAAGCATTATTTATTTCAACAAAACAAGAACATGCACTGACTTCACTATTTACGATATAAAAAATATTTTTTTGTGTCTTGTTTTGTCTTTTGAATCTGGTCTATATTTACATTCTCCTATCTGAGATATAAAAATTGTTTAGCAAGTTGTAAATGCTCAGAATGCATGTTTGCAAAACCAAGTAAATGACATTCATAGAATCTTTCCATATTTGCAGTAATAAATTGGAATACTTGAACAGCATTGTATGCTTGTGTTCTAGAAAATATAATGTCTTTTAATATCTCAAAACTATGTTCAATGTAGTTATTAGTATTATTTTCATGAAGTAGTAAGTTTAAACAAAATGAGAGTGCCCAAAAGTGGTAATGTTCTTATAAGAGTTCAAAATGTCTTTTTAATACAGAATAATTAAAATAAAACTCTTGTTTAAATTCATAATATGATTTTATTTCTGTGTTTGATTTAGCATATAGGATTTTTTTTATTTTTGTTATAATATGTATATGGTCTTCTTTTTTAACCTTATGTTTGGAATCATAAATCCATTTCCAAAATGCTTACAGCATATGGAAGATACATAAAAGATGAATTGCTTTTGGATAGCATAATTCTAAAGCATTTCATATTGTACTGCAATTATCTGTAAGAAATACTATAGGTCCTATTTGTGGTCTATTATCATAAAAAGCATGTGATAGGAGAATAGTCTTTAATAAGTTTAATGCTTTTTCTAATATTATTTCAAGTTTGTCTGAAGTTATAAAAATCCAAATGAAAGAGTACCAATTGCACAGCTAGTATATATAAGTGTAATTGAGGTATTAAGAGATTTAAATGATGTAGATACATCAAAATAACATAATTCACCCACTTGTTTTACTTTTTCATGAACACAAAACATAAAATTTGTAACAATATATAAGATAAATGTATTTTTAGTATATGCATTATATTCTTATAAAACTGCTCTTCTCTTCTTTGAACTATTATATTCCTTAACTATTTCTGCCAAATGTTTGAATATTGATTTACCATTATGACCTTCAAGCATACTATCACAGTACTTTTTATAAAGCTTTGTAACATAGTCATAGTCTAGATTAAAGGCCTGATCTGCAAGTAATTCAATCAGCTCTTGTTTATTTGTAGTATTAATTTGAAGATTATTCTGGTATATATATAATGCCATAGAAGTAGTATGTCCATCTTTAAATAAAGTTAAAATTTCTTTACAGACTTCTTTTTTAACAGAACAAAAGTTTAATGATTCTGCTAAGTTAATAACATAATTATAAATGTATTTTAGGTTAATTTCAAATAGGTAATCAAATGAAAGTCATTGTCTTTCTAGATGCAAATCAATTGTTGTATCACAAAATACATCACATGCTCTGAATAATTGTGGTCTTTTTGTTTCAGTATTTTTCTATTTATTTTTTACTTTGTAACTATGTATACAATACCAGTTTTCTTAAAAAAGAACTTTATTTTTTTTTATTGTATATATTCTGGTTTTTGGCATTGTAGTCTTTAAGTGAAGCTGAAACATTGAAATCCATTCTGATGCTTTCTCTTTACTATTAATATTTACAAATACATCTAATTTGAAATTTGAAATATTAAAGTTTTCTAATATTTTATATAATGGCAAGATAATGAAAATTTGAATTTGATACATATAATTTTGAGAAAAGACAGTTTTTAAGATTTCAGGCAATAAATTCCAAGAAAATATTTGTGTATTCATTGTATTGCTACTTTTTATATCTTTTATATATTTCAGATTCAAATAACTAAGGAATTTATAAGAATATTTATGTTTTAGTTACAAGAAAAAATCAAGATCGACTATATGTTTTCAATTATAAAAATTTATTGATGATTTGAAAAAGGAAATATTTTAAAATTTTTCTCTTTTTTGATTAGTAATAATTTTAACTGATAAATATAATTGAGGTCAATTTTTATAATGCCATGATTATGTACAATTGAGTTCATATTTTATGATACTGTGAATACATACAATTGAGTTCATATTTTATGCTACTGTAAATATGTACAATTGAGTTTAATTTTTATGTCATTGTAATAGAGTTAGGCAGATAATTGACTAACCTGTCACAGATTTCAAAAATGCTAGTTTATTATGATATTAACTGTTTAAAAATAATAATAGAAAAATTATTATAAAGAACTAAAAATTTTCTTGATTATTATCATTTTGAAAATTTTTTTATTACATTATTTGAGTCTTAATATAATTATTCTTATACTAAGAAATATTTGAATAATTTTATCAAACTATCTGTTATTTGTTTAATAGTTTTTTTTATAATTTATAGCAAAATCTAGTTAAGTCAGAATTGAAAATAAAAAAAAATAAAAAAAAAACTATTATTATTTTTTAGATATTCAATCACAATTTTATTTTAAAGCATTATTACTAAAATATTATTCATATTATTAATATAAGATAAACAGTTTATATGAACAGTTTATGTAAACAGTTTATGTGATTATTTAGAATGCTCTGATTTATTATTAAACAAAGATCTTATATTAAGTTTCAAACATAGTTATCATAATAGATGTTTTTATTATAATTAGTTTTGAATATCTTTCTAATTAAATTAAAGAATTATTATATTTATATAATGAAAAATTAAAATGAAAACTTGCAGGTAAGTATTAAGATATATTTTCTGATGAATACAATGCATGACACTTAAAAACTATATTTGTATTATTTTGGGTTCATCAATAGTTACTATATAATAATGTTGATATTTTACTATATAAATTGACATTAACTCATTAAGTAGCATTGTTTAAAAGACCATAATACATATATTCTGAAAGTTTTACATTAATTAGATAACTTTTTGCTAATACATTTTTGCATATTTAGTTTAGGCAAATATTTTTTAAAAAGTGTAAAATTTGTTTACCCAATTGTAATATGCAAAAATATATTAATAAAAGGTTGTTTAATTTATATACAACTTTCAAACAATTTCTATCTGAACACTAGTATATAAAACATAAGTATATTGATATCTCAAAATCATAATAATAAACAGCTCTTAAAGTCCTAACAAAAAATATTTCTCATAAAATGTTAGTATAAACTATGACCTTTTTAGCCCTAAAAAGCCAACCTTACTCTAACTTTAAATCAGATTTAATTTTTTGGTTTATAATTTATCTTAAAAGGATTTGTTAAATAATTAATTAATGTCAGTGTATATAACACCCATGTACAATTAGAAATTTTCTTTTAAAAAAAAGTGTATTTTTAAAAAAATTTATTAATATTTGTCCTATTTTTGATATTTTTTATGTTATCAAAATTTAAGTTTCACGCACTGAACTAATAATTGTCCGGAGGACGCTCTGCTATGCAAAATGATACAAAAGTTATACTTTTGATGCCTCAAAAGTTATCATTATTGATGCATTCATAATAAAAATCAAAAACGTAACTTTGAAATTTCCGTCTGTCTCCACTTACATCATCACGTAATACAACAAATCTCAAGTGATCGCTCCGGACATAATAACGGTTTCTTTCCATTTTCTAGTATTATTATTACATAATGTCAATAAATTTTAATAGAATTTCTTGAAGATCGTTCTCAAAAACTTTGAAGTCGAAAACCTAAAAACTTATGCAATTAGTAGTGTGCCACTGGCAAATATTACCAATATATTTTAAATCTCTTATTTGTCATGCCACATTTGTTTTTTACTTTTATATGTCAAATTTATTTGATGTAATGTAAATAATCAAGGAATAAAGCTTTTTAGTATTGTTTCGAAAATTAAATATCATATAAATTAAGTATCACAGGCTTGCATAATTGTCACATGTGTTGCATCATATGCAACACTAATAATAAAAAACATCACGAACTATTTGTGGAACTATTTTTTCTAACGTAAAAATCATATATAGCTAAATGACATGTCGCTTGATAATATTCTTGATAATATTGTTAATACCGTTCAAGGTCTCTCTGAAGAGCCTAATAAATTAAGTGAGAATGAGGAGGCCAATTTATACGCATATCTCATAGACAAATATACTGAATTAGCTGGTGTGGAAAAATTACTTAATCTCTGCAAGACAAATACTGCTAAGCTTGTATACTTGAAAGCGCTATCGAAGAAATCTGTTTCTGGTGTGTTCCTATGGTTTTCCCAACTGTAATATTCACCAATAATATCGAATACTTAATTGCGTTTTTTCTTTCCTGCTTTTATCGTCAAAAACCACCCAAAAAACACGTTCACGTTATCATAGAGTCAACCGTTGCTACCGGTGAGTCTTAGTAAATTTAGTCGATGAATGAATGCATCTTGGCTTTATTTTTGATGATCGCTGTTGCTTCATCCTTGCTATATACATTGTGTCACATTTGAATATTCCAAACTATACTGCTTTTCTAGCTGTCTGACAATAATGTTAAATTCTTTCGCAGGTAATGTTTCTGATATAACTTCTCTGAAGAGAGAATTTGAGAAAATCGTTAAAGAAGAAGTAAGGGATCTTAGACATGAAGTAAAGAGAATTCGACTCCACAGTGAAATAATGTGGTTTAGCGCTCCAGGTATGTCATTAATCTGATTTGTACAATATAACACCATTTTCCGCAAACACTAATATTTGTTTTAGTTACTACTACGGAAACTGATAAGGGTAATTTTGTAAAAAAATATGGTACTCCTCTTAATTTCCCATTTAAATTGACCACGACTACTCGAAGAATAGAACATGGAAAGTTTAGAAATCCACCTAACATTGAGGTCCCAGAAAATATATTACAAGAATATTTTATTAACGAATGTAGAGCATTACAATCATTGAAGGACTCAGTGCTTATGGTTGAAGACTCGCATTCTATTCCATTCCTGGCTACTCGAAAACCAGATTTTGTATTCATTCCAAAAGGGTGTCCTCTAGATGCATTACATGTCGTAGCAGTTGGTGAAATAAAAAAACGAATCAGCAATGAATTTACAAGTGCAGCTATAGGGCATGCGGTGTCATTTGGAGAAAAAGTACTTCAACTTCAGCCAAGACGAGCCTATGTATATGTGGTGTTAACAGATTGCAGACTTATTTGTATTTATAAGGTTACTAGGAAAAACGTTAATGCCAGTGACAATGCCCGATTCTCATATGAATACACATTACCTAAGCCCTTAAAATACGATAGCAAAGATTGTCCTCCAGCTGGGTGGAAATACTTGGTAACAATTATGGAAAGTTCTCAGAATCAGCTTGGATGGATTGATCCATCGCTGAAATTCGGCTCAGATGTTGTAAATCTAGTTCGATCCATCAATACAGGCAGAACTAGCATTGTGTATGAAGGAAATATTAATGATAAAGATTCTGTAGCCGTAAAATTGATTAAAGGAGAAGAATATTTATCTTGTTTTTCAAAAGAAAAAGAAGTACTGAATGAGTTTTCAAGTCTAAATTCACCTCATCTTCAGAAACTTCTCCTAGGTGATGAGGGCGCCCTTGTTACAACTCCTCTTGGTAAGAAAGTCAATAATCTGAAAAAAGAGGATATTAAAAATATCATTAACACCCTGAAGACGGTTCATTCAGATTTCAATCGCGTACATATGGACCTTCGTAGATATAACTTCCTTCGTGATAATAACGGAAACATTGTGATCATTGATTGGGGATATAGCGTAAAAATCAATGAAACTGGAAATTTTGCGGGAGCACTTGAAGTTATGCCTGACGATATCCTGACATCATTGACCAATGAAAAACAAATTACTTATTTACCGAGAATTGACTTGATATGTTTGATAAGGGCATTTTATTTGATGCTTCATAAACCGACAAACGCGGAAATGATAAGGATAGCCTTTGATGGAGCTCCTGACATCAAATCACGGGCTCAAAATATATTGACCTTCTGGTCATATCATGGAAAATCCGATTTGTGGAAAAAAATCTATCAACAAGCGAGTGAGTTGAACTACGATAATTTAATCGAAGAGCTTGAAGCGTTGTTTTAACTTAAATTATTGGTTTAGATGCATTATTGATTTAGATGCAAAGTGGAATTGTTGAAGTTAGAAAATCAAATGTGACTAATAAGGTGGAAAGTAGATTTTTAGGATAGTTTGGTTTGAGATTAAAGAAATATCATCATATACGGCCCAGCAAAAACTTATTTTTCTCGATTGTACATGCTTATATCTTAAAAATAAATAAAATATTTGTTTGCTTACATCGGGCTCATGATATAAACAATGTGTTGTAGGTGAATATAAAATGTATATTAACATTTTCGATCACAGTTGAATCGCTGTACAATCACGGCTATTAAAAATAAAGATTTTCCTATGTATTTATATTGATCACACTGCGATCATGATCCATCAGGGTTACATTATGGTTAGCAATTATTTTTTGTTTTCTTACTGAGATTTTAGAAAGCAGAATTTCTCCGATCGTGACAAAAAATAATGAAAACGGTCACGGTTAAGATTATGTGATTTTTCTACCTCGGGCGTTTAAAGCCTGGTACCTTACGTAATTACCCAATAAGTAGCTGCGCAACGTTGTCGCGCGAAACCAGGAACGGGAAAGTAGACAATACAATGCTAAATATTAATGACATCAACAATTGGTAAGTCTGTTATACAGCAAAGACAGTGCCTAATCAAAGCGAATCCCTCTCACCTGTCATCAATCACAAATTATTCATGTTAGATTCAATTGTAATGGATATAACTAGTGATGGGCAATGCGCATGATTTTATATATACTTATAATGCTGGTAGATATCTAATTACTAGTGAAAGACCCGTGGCTTTGCCACGGGGTTTAGTGTGATACAGATAAGTGTAATTTTTAAAAAAAGTTTTTTTGTAAATAAGATTTTAAGCAATACAAAATGTGGGAAAATGTGTTTAGTGTGAGATTATGTAATTAGAAGTTTATATTTTAAGAGAATTATTTTATTTATTTTTATTATAGTTTATTGAGTGGAGTAGTAGAGGGTATATAAGTGATGATAGTGAATTATAAATTTATTTAATGTAATATTTAGGAATTGATAAGTAGATCATATTTGAGATTAGTGAAAAAAGGAATTATTATAATTGGGATTGGAGTTATAGATACAATGTAAGTACTGATAATGTTTTAAGTCGAGAGGGGTTAGATATAACAAGTAAAGAGAAATAAAATTGCAATAGTAGCTACATGCTAATTATGTATTATTGAGGTCTTGTAATTATATAAAATAATTAATAATAAGATGGTAATAGAAGTAATTAACAATTAGGGTTGTAATGGTATAACAATTGGTCAGTTATTTTTTTTTTAGTAATTGACTATTAGTTGATTTGGTTAGTATAAAAGTAGTTATTCATATAAGTATTTAAAGTAATTTATTGAAGTTTATAAGTATTTGAGGTTGTTTTACTTATGCTATGAGGATTATATATTAAGTGAAGTATTTAAAATAATTTATATGTAGTAATTCAGAGATTATTGAAATTATTTATTAATGGAAGTATATAGTCAAGTAAGTTATTCGAAATTATGAATATTTTATTTGCATTAATTTAGTGGTGTGTATGAAGATATTATTTATTAAGGTGTTTAAAATAAGTTATTTAAGCTTATTAATTGAAGTATTTAAAGTTAGTTATTTAATTTTAGGACATTTACTTTGTTATTTAGTAGTAAGTATAGAAATTAGATTTATTAAATAATGTATTTAAAAAAAGTTATTTAAGTTTAGGAGTACTTAATTGTATATGAGTTGAGTCAATTTAGTGGGTAGGTATTAAGATAAAAGTATTTAAAATAAGTGATTCGAATTTATGAATATTTAATTTATTTGAATATGTTGATAAGACTTTTTTTTACATGAGTTATTGGATTTTTTGGTTGGGGGTTTTACGTTATATATCAATTTTGGACTTGAGTGTTTAGTTTTACGATTATTGGAAAATAATTGATGGATTAGTCGAGAATTGATTAAATAATAAAATTGTTAGTATTAGGAACGGAGTTTGTACAATGTACAATGTAGTGTATGGTTTACAGGCAAGTTAATGTGTCTGTGCGATTCTTAGTATATGATCGGGTAATCTGGCATTGTGAATTTGGGTATTATTATTGCTCGATCATACTTTATTAAGTAAATGACAGGAATATACATATGGGATTAAGGCTCGCTACTACATACAATAGCATTCGAAAATACAGTATTTTCTTAGTTCATAAGAGGAATGATCAGTAGAATGAACATAGCATAGAAAGAGAATCGGCA